TCATCTAGACACAGTGTGAATATCTAAAAAAATCCAGGCCAATTTCACTGCTGACATAAGCACTGAAAGGACTGTTGATTTATACCAGCACTGTGAATGCCTGTAGCCTGCAGTGCCAGCTAACAAGCCTCAGCCTTTGTCCCTACAGTGCTGATTGATTTAAGGATGTTTTAGTTCAAGTTCCTCTGCAAACCTCTCGTGGCATCAGCTATTGAGTCTTCACTGTGTACCTTCCAGACTTAACACTAGACTTTGCCCATTTAAAATAAATGCTATCAGCGCTAAGACAACGTGTGTGTGAAGATCTCAGGCTACATATCAAAATTCCAAAATGTTCTGATTGCTTACTGCTTACACTGAATGACAAAAAAACAGATTCCTGGTTGGCTTTCTGACCTTATTATTCCTGCTTCTTGCAATGCTCAGAAAGTCCACTGGAAGAAGTAGTTCTGTCTCTAAAGACTGACAGCATAACAGATTCAACCAATTCAACCAATACACGGGGCCATTTCACAACAAGAAAACTGAAGTTGAGAACCATGCCTTTGAGAGTGAAGTTATTGCTCATTAAGCTTTCCTGGTATTCATATCCACATCAGCAAACTGCTGCAAAGTTCAAAACAAACTATTAAAGTCTACCTAAAAAAAAAGGTTATATATTAAACTTAAAAGACAGTGAATAAAAGCTGTGCTTTTTTTCTTATCTGAAAGAAACACTCATAACGCATTAACTACAAGTGCAAGCTGGTTTTTAAATTATCCTTTCTCAAATCTCTTCAGAGGAAAGGATACTGTAGGAATGGTGCTTTGTGATTAGTGGCTGGCTGCTGCTGGTTCTCTGGTGCTGAGCATATGTACTGGGGAGCTCCGGGCCAGGTGGGAATGGATATCTGGTACAGCCCTGCTTCTGTGCAGTGAAGGCAATCACTGGGAGGACTGTGTAATTAAATGGTCTGGGAGTTTACATTTACTTCAGATGTGTGTAACTTGTTGGCTGGAAAGAACATATTAAGAAGATTCACATTCAGAATGCCAGAGGTATGGGACGAAGGGAGAAAATGCATTAAAAATCAGAAATCGTATTTATGATTTAATTGGAAAGTTACTGATACATTTTAAAAAGGTGGGGGAAAAATTACATGTATATATACAACTAGGTAATACAACCAAAGAGTGTGCAGGAACACGGCACAGAACTACAGAGAAACCATATACAACACTGACTGTAGAGGCTGCTGTCCCACACAAAGCAATTTTTCCAGGGTTGCAGGATGCAGTGTGAGGCAATTTTGTACATGGATGCTACATGCTTATAAAGATGCCCCAAATTCAGCAGATTAAGTACAAGGTACACTATCACACTGCCACATTCAGTAATTCTGCGGTACTGTCCAGTCCCACAACCACCAGAACAGCACAGGTCTCAGGGCTGAATTACTCTAAACACAAGCTGCTGAATTAGCAGCTGAAATAATATCTTTTCCCTCCTGCTCCTTCTCTCCCACAGATGAGAAAAACCACATGGTCCCCGGCCATGTTATGATGCTGAGCAGCAGCAGCAGCTCCACAACCATACTCCAGAGACCAACACTGCCCCTATACAGTGTAAAGGAGCACTTTGAAGAACTGCAACAGAAGTCCATGACAGCACCTTCTACTGGAATGCTTGTAAGCACTATGGAGGAACAGAAAATGATAAGAAAAAATTCAGCTCACCCCTTCCAACAACCAGTAACCACTCCAGAGGAGTACAAATCCCAATCCAAAAAGATACTGCTCCCTTAGCTGCTAATCTTTAAAGGAGGGTGAGGAGGGTCAGACCCAGGCTCCACCCCTTCAGGTCACTCAGGTAGATTGCTTGCACCTGAGTTCCCTGGGTTAGCCATGCTTTCTCACGTGATGCTAACTATTGGTTCTGGCTGTAACCTGGCAATTCCACAGCACTAGCTGTGAGTCACAGAGCCCAAGAGCTGGAATAGTAGAAAAAGGCACTGTGTTAGCCAGTGCTATGCTACTCCTATAAGAGCTCAGAATTCACAGCACAACATAAGCACTGTTCTGCATACTGTGGAGCTGGAAGTAAGCTTTGTCTGTCCCTGCTGCCAGAAATATCCAAAAGAATCTTCTCTCATGTCACAGCGATGGCCACATAGACATCCAATTCAGAGTTCATCCACCCTGCAGAGGACAGAGTTTAGGCAGAGAAGGATTTGTCCCAGTACTTCTTCCCAGCAGAAAATTGGGCTTTATAGCTTTAAGGGCCACAGAGCAGCTTTGCTTACTTCATTGAGTATTGTGTTCCCATAGAAGAAGACTGGGCGGCTTGCTCTTCACTACTACACAGCTGCTGTTCTGGCACCTTCTTCAGCTCAGCTGACAGTGGGGGAAAAGAGCAGTATGTTTTGTCCCAGAAGGAGATATCGGTGCTGCCTGTGTCAGCTTCCTGGTAGGTTCTTCCCTACTCTGCGATATTTTCTGGACGTGACACAGAGTATTGCGCAGGCACCCTTCTGCTCCAGCTCTGGTTTGTCTGGTGACTTACAGTCTCTCTTCATTTACTTCCAGTCAGCTCCTGGCACATTGTCTGCACACTAAAATCAATCCCTTTCCTATCCTGTTCCCTAATCATAAGTTTCTCCTCCCATTCCCCATGTGGATCCTAAGCCTTTATCTTGGTTTATCCTGTAAGCCATTTTTTATTTTTTACCTAGTCATTCCTGCTCCTTTGACCTATGAAGAGACACGCTTTTGCCAGTTCTTTGCAGAAAGCCTTGATAAATTGCTTTTCCCATTCAGATTTCCTATTTACTGTTCCCAGGTGCTTCCATCAATAACGAAATGACTAACAGTATAGCTGGTCCAAGAGAAATATGATAGAACATAGTGGGTTCAAGGTGAATTCATTGTGCACAGAAGCAGTATTTTTCATGACAACTTCAGAAAATTGAATGGAATGCAGTATTTGTTCAGAGAGGGATACTCCTACTTATCAAACCCTGAGATGTAAGCAGCTCCACCTGAGTCATGAAAACTTTTGTGTTTAGTGGCACAATAGATCCAAAACATCTCAAGGTGACTGCTCAGCTGAAAATCCTTGCCTGCTAACAAGGCTCAACTATTACATATTGCCAAGTCTCTTCTGCCACTCAGCAGGAAAGAAAATAGAAATATTTCCATCCTTAAGTGTGGGCAGTATATTACAAAATTCAGTGATACATGAAAATGGTTTAATCAGAGGCTGTTTAATTTTTTTGTCTTTACCCAAGATCGATCTGCTGCCTAACTACTATGTAAATGTTTCATCATCGTGCTTTGCACTTTCTGGAAAAAAGAGCTGTCAGGTGTTGTTAAAAGCTAACCATTGTGAGCTCATATGCCATTTACACAGAAAGAAGGAAACATACACATGTATTTATGTTTCAGAGGTGCGTGATAACCTTAGAATCTATTGTGAGCTCATACAACACTTATGCATAAAGTATACTCCATATGTATATGTTTACTGTATTTGTGTGTAAATGTAAAAATGGATTTAGTAGACACTAAGCTTGCTCTTTTGTGGTGTAAACCACCTTAAGTCTGAACTGGTAGTGAACTTCATTTACATTCTTTTTGTTCTTTGGAATTTTTTGAGAAGCTTCTCAGGACATACAACCGTACCTAGAGTTGTGCAATCACTATGAAAACACGCATTTAAGCTACACCATTAGTTTTCAGGATGGGAGTTGCTTCTTGCTGTTTAGTTTGCTCTGCAATGGCATCCCAGCCCATGATGAGACCCTTATTGATACAGTGATACAAACCTTGCTGGTAACACCTATGGATGGATTTGTCGCCCATGTCTGGCTACCTTTACAGCTATTTCTACCTTCCCCAAGTTTTACCCAAGTAGGTACTAAACAGCAGTCCACTCTGCTCCCAACCTGAGTGTAGGAGCTGTAATTATCCTCTGCGCAAGGTGGCAGCAAAAGAAAGCTTTTTCCTCTCTCCCTTGCATACCTTCTATTAAGAGTAATGACTGCCTCAACTATACTAAATGCATTTTAAAAAACACATCTTAGTGCTAGTGGTTTATACATAAATAGTTGCTACTGTCTTCTATTTTAAGAAAACTTTTTATTTATACTTTTATTCTCCCATTTGATTATTTTTAAACCAATTTTCCCTAGGGGAAGAAGCCAGAAAATAGCACACACAGAAAGGAAAACCACAAAACATATTCACTGATTTTACCTTTCTGATTTTGTTTTTAAACAGAGAAGATTTTTTTTTTCTTCCAAACAAAAACATAACTGCTTTGGGAAAAAGAATCAAATTCCAAGATTAAAAGGAAAAGAAAAAAAAAATTGTAAACTCAGTGTTTAATGATGACATCTCCACGTTAACTGACAAATTGATAACTATACAAGTAGCACATCATGTTTCAACATAGTAATTTTCTATTTCTACGGGAATAAGTAGTCTGAAAAAACTGGCTATCGAATTCCTAGCTAGGAAATGAAAAGATGAAAAACAAAGTGTGAAGTACACATCCATAGTTCTCCTGACCTTGCCTCACTGTTTGGATTTTTCAACCATTCTTAGAGTTTTTGTTTTGTTTTTTTGTTTGTTTTTCGTTTGGGGAAGTGGAGTTATCTTGTTTTTTTTGGCACCCAACATGTGTTGAATGGAATATTTTACCACAAGTATTAGTTACCCGACTAAGCCACATCAAGTTTCATTAAATCTCAAAATAGTCATAATAAACACATTATGCATTTTCTTAAATACTCCTTATATATTTCAATTCTGTTAAGTCAACTGAAGCAGCTCACCAACTCTTCGGAGCCAGTACTGGAAATATGAGCAGAACTGTGATCACGATACTCAGTATCCCAGCATCACTGAAACAAGCCAAGTAAATGGTTTGTTCATTCCTACTTCTGTAGGATAGCTATTTTTAAAATGTAAACCTTGACTAGCTTTTATTTTGAAAAAACAGGTTTTACTCACCTCAAAAGTACAATGTAGTATGTATGATCTTTATTCATAGACATGGTAAAAGAATAGCCAGTTGACTTTGGATACGAACATTCTTCACAACATAAAATCTTATTCTGATGAATTTAATAATCTTAATGCAAAAACACCGCGTTTAATAAAAATTCCAGAACTTAAAAGACTATTTTATTATTGAATACAAAAATACTATCTATGTAAAAACAATAAGTTAGTTTATTTACAGTACTTTACACTATTCTGCTCTTAAGAGTTCCTCTGCACTGGATTTATTTTCATTACTTTACACACCTTTATAATTTTGCACAAAGCATTTCCAAAAGCATGTCATCCATGTTCACTGATCCAATGATGGGCCTGAAGAACAGTTCAGCAATCGCATTAGCATTAATAGATCGTAACAAGGATAGAACAACATTCAGCTTGGCAAATCTGGCTTGGTCACCTCTGTGAATGAGTCTGACATGTTCATTTAGAGCTTCTTGTGCTTCCCTCTGCAGTCCTTCAATGTACTGTGTGCACTGCAGGCCAGGTAGATCTGAAAAGAGAATTAAATAATTTAATTTACGTATTCTCCGTCTACAAAACAACTTTCTTCTTACTGAGTTATAACTATAGTATAATAAGAGATCAGAGATTATGACAAATTAAGTTGTTAGAGAACTTCTTGTACCAAGAAGCAATGTGCCAAACACTACAGTGCAGTTCAAAATTTTATGCTGGTGTTCTGGACAGTCAATACTCTTTTCTATTCAAACTTGAAACGCAGTATTTGCCACATTAATTTAAACAGGAAAAAATATTCACTGATAACAGAAACTTTCACTGAAAAATGAAGAAATGAAGCGTAGAATCATAGAATGGTTTGGGTTGGAAGGGACCTCAAAGATCACCTCGTCCCAACCCCTCCTTTTCCCATCCAAAATACTTTTGCAGAGACAAATGCAATTTGTAAACAGCAGAGATAAGAATTTATTAAAAAAAAAAAAAAAAAGTTGCTTTTGTTTACTCCTACAAAAGTATTCACGTGTAAAGTATCCTTTGACAATGGTTTCTGAGGAGCTCCAGATGACAAGTGGCAAGAAGAGTAACTCCAGCATGTGAAAAGTTTCCCGGTGAACGATACGAGGGATACTGAAGGGCTGAGAAAACAGTTTTGGCTTTTCAGTCTGACAGGAGGAACGCAGAAGTGCTAAACACAGCTTTCAGGCGGCAGTGCCATCATTTTAAGTGCCACATCCAGAGCCAGCTGCCTTCCAGGTTAAGGAACCGACAGACAGCCTCTCCCTATCTATATAAGAGGCTCCTGCTGCTTCCACCCGCTGAGTGCGGCTCTCTGTGAGAGCTGCCACGCGGACACGGGGTCCCTCGCGGGCAGTGCGGGTTCCCCGTGCTCCGGAGCTCCGCCGTCGCCACACACCGCCTCTCAACCCGCCCTCGGGACACCCCGCGGCCCCTCCGCCACTCACCCGGGTTGAAGAGCACCGTCCCCTTGAGGTAGGCGTACTCCTTGGTGCTGATGTCCAGGCTCCAGCACTTAGCCAGGAAGCCCTTGATGGCCTGGATCTCGCCGGCCGAGGGCGGGTGCTGCCGGCCGGGTGCCGGGGCGTGCTCGCCGTGCCGCCGGGTGGTGAGGATCCGCTGCAGCATGCTGGGCTCCGCGCTCTCCACCGTCTCCAGGTGCACCCGCTCCTGCGCCAGCCCCAGCACGAGCAGAGGCGCCCAGCAGCTGCGGACCAGCACCAGCTGCTCGTCCAGGGGCAGCTCCTGGAAGCAGGGCACGTTCTGTACGAAGCGCAGCGTCTTCACCAGCACAGCCGAGGCCGCCTTGCAGGCAACCTGCGGGCTCTTCAGGGCCACCCGCCTCTGCGAGCCGCACGAGCAGCCGCGCCCCGCCTGTCCCCGCCGCGGCCCCGGCCCCTCGGCCGCCTGCTCGTGGCTCTTGAGGATGCTGTAGAGGATGCTGCCGTGCCGCCGGCCGTCCGCGCAGCAGTGGCAGCGCTCCAGGCACGCCATGGGGACACCCAGCCGCCCGGCCCGGCCCGCCGGGAGACGAGCACTGCTCGTCCTCTGCCCGCCTCTTAACTTATTTATAGCCGGCGGCCGAGCGCGTCTGCCTGCGTGTCAGTGTGCGGTTCAGAGGGGGCAGACACTCTTCACTGGCTGGAAAAGAGAAAGAGGAGGGGAATAATAAAAAGAGAAAGCCCTCCTCCTCCTTTCCTGACACGGACGACTCCGACTGACAGGAGGCAGCGCGTCCCGCCCGACACGAAATGGCGCCCGGCTGCCCCGGGGTTTGGGGCGGGGAGATTGGGGCACTGGTGCTCTGGGTTCAGAGGGTTCTTGCGAGTGGCTATACTGCCTCACGGGATTAATTATCAGCTCAGCACTGCTGTGAGGAAGGGAGAGGTGCTCCTGCCCAGCCAAGGAATGGGGCTGGGGGTACTGGTGGGGCTTTTCAGCGTGCCCTGAGGCTGGCACCTCTGTTCAGTCCTGTGAGTGAAACGATGTGGATCACCCATAAAGCTGTCCCCCGTGCAGCATTCCCTTCCTCTGCTCTCCAGTACGTGGCCCATCCTTCTGATCTCATGATAGATATGTTCCACCCATTTGCCTAAAACATTTCCTTCAACTTCCATCTCCACTTTTCTGAGACCCATCTTGTCATGGTTGCATATGGACTCCAAAATGAGGAAACTACCATAGCAGGCCTTCATATTTACCCAGCTGGGACAGAAGAATAGTGATTGTCCAAATTTGATACTGCTCTAGAATGAAAAGCACATTCACTTTCTCAACTGACTGTCTATGAAGAAGTGGTTGTAGCAGAGTGTAATACTCCCTACAGTAAGTGGAGGGTTACATGTTTGTGCTTCACGGACCAAAACAGAAACATTTTAAGTTTTATGTGAACTAGAGGAACCTTGGCACAGTTTTAGAGAAAGTAGTGAGTTGCAAGCAGCTTTCTGTACCTGCTCCATCAATATCAGTAGGAAGGGATGTTTAAATCACCCTGGAAATACTTCTTTCAGTAAAATTATGCTGGTTTTTTAAGTAATGCTGCTGAGTGCTTTGACTTCTTAGAAATTTTAGGCCAGATCTCAGCAATTTCTTTTCCCTGTGTGAAACTAGTGCTATTCTATCAGTTTACATAAGGTATAGTCATATAATGATTTCACTCTGCATATTTCTTCACAATTGGACTCAAAAGGGGCATTCTTCACAAAAGGCATAAAATATATATGTGTAATGGAAAGCACTAGTGGGTCATTTCGCTCAAGTAATTTGTTGTCAAAAATTCTTATAATTGTACTTGGTTTTACCTGTGAAATGCATCATATAGTTTAAATTAGTTTCATTAAAATATTACTAACTTTTCTCGTGTCTCCTTAAGCAGCCTTACGATTTTCTAATGCAAGAATTTCAGATTTTAGTCTAAGATCCTCTAATATCTTTGTTTATCATGTTTTTTCCACAGATCCAAATAAGATAAAGCCCTTTACTGGTTTTGCAGTAGTGGACAATTGTTACTATACACTGAGGAACTGATGTTTGCAGACAGGTGAGATTTGTCTGTGGAGCAGAAAGCAATGTTTCACCAAGCATTCTTAAAAAAAAAAAAAAAAAAAAAAAGCAGCTTAGAATTCCGAAACAAATTTAATAATGTTAAATGTTGTCTTTTGAATAGTATCACTCGTAACTGGAAAATACTTGCCAAAGTGGTTAGTACATTTTCTTGCTGTTCCAGACTGTTTCATGCTATATTCATCAGTTTTTTTCCTCAACATTTCTGTATTACAATTTTAGATGGTTTTTCTTGCCTATCTAGTCTTTTTCCTTCTTAATTTTTTATTTCACCAACTTCAGAGATAAACATTTAGAAAATGAGCATCCCTAAGCTTTCAGTACCCATCAGTGGCTCATGTTTCATGAGGTACTTGTTGTTGGTCTGACAATAAAATTTAATTGTGTTTTTTATTACTTTGTAACTGGAATGTGTCTGTAGGAAACTATGAGACAGCTGAGACTCAGATCATTGCCTTTGCAGTTTTGAACTTGTACTCCGTTTGTGGGAACATTTTGCTTCTTATGGGAGGATGCTGCTTGTGCGAGGCCATATGTAAGGGCAGTATGAAACTTTTATACCAGGTCCACAATGGATTTTTTCCTGATGTAACAATGTGGGTTCCAAGTGTTTAGTTTTTCAAGGCATTTCTCTTTCAACCAAGTGTGGATGCAACTCTGCTGTCATATAAGGCCTTTGCTGACTGTTCACTCTCAACCAAGCTATACAGAAAGATTTTTCTTTGATAACCTTGTCAGCATAGGTATTCTATACTGAAACTGAAACCCGATTTACTACGCTGTGCCAGAAATTACACTGATGTAATCAAAAGTAAACCTCTGCACTCGTAAGGGCACTAAAACACTCATTTCTCTCTTTCTAATTCTTAATGTATCAAAATACATGACATTTTATTCAGGGCAGATAATTTTTTTCCCATTAAAAGCATCAAAAATGCCCTAGAAACTTTGTTACTTAATGATTTGATCAACTTTGTTTTTCGTGTTGGAGGAAAGCATTCAAGTTCAGCATTCAGGCTGGATATTAGGAAATACTACTTCTCTGAAAGGGTGGTCAGGCACTGGAATGGGCTGCCCAGGGAGGTGGTGGAGTCACCGACCCTGGAGGTGTTCAAAGAACGTTTGGATGTTGTGTTGAGGGATATGGTTTAATGAGAACCATTGGTGACAGGTGGATGGTTGGACTGGATGAT